AGCCGAACAACGCAGTTTTCTTTTAGATTGGAATATGAAGCATAGCATTTGAGTTAGCTAGGAACTGACTTTTCGTATTTGAGCCAAAAATAAAAGAACATAAAAGCACAACAATTTCGTTTAGTCATCCATTTCAGATCTCGGACAGACAAGATTTTTTGAAATAGGTGTCATACGTCCCCTGTGTTGCTTTAAGTGGGACTTAAGTGCTGGACTAGCTAAAATGAAAAACTTCAAAATTTTTCAATATCAAAACCTACAACCTAGATCTCAGGGGACTGATTAGCTAAAATTCAGAAATTCAGGGCACGGCTAACACACACCCCTGAAACAACCTCTGGGCTGATCTAAGTCAGGGCATGGCTAACTCACAGATCAAACCCTGAAACAACCTCTGGGCTGATCAAAGGCAAACTAACACGACAAATTATAACTGGCATATGATTGCAAGCAAGCTGTGTGGAGTTTGCAGTCATTATGAGCGAATTTTGCACTCATTTTCTTACTCATTGCGTTTTTTAGCATACCTCTTCTCGTCCTACTCGTCTTTCCGAAGTAGCCCGAGTATCGGGCTCTCTTGGAGAGAGGAGGAGTAAGAGAGGAGAAAAGGAGAGGCCCTCCTTCTCCTCTATCCCTTGTCTATCCCAAGCCCCCCCCCTCCCTCCCCGGGGGCCTGATACCGGCAGGTTACAACAACCTCGTGGAACGACTGAACTTGAGTGTACGCGAGAAGGCGCGCAGAGCTACCCTGATATTACCCGTTATACCTACCCAACGAACCTATCTGGTTAGTAATATATCCTCACTGAAGCCATTATCACGTCGCAGTATGATTAAGTTATGGGGCGAGATCCGCTCCTTGTCCCCGACAATACAACGAGACGGCATATAGCCAAACTCCAGTCGTAATAGTGCATAATAATTAATCCAGTAGTAATATGCCAACCTTTATTCTTACTATGCTCAACCCCATATACCCAATACTCAAAACCCACATCCAATACTCAAAACCCACATCCAATACTCAAAACCCACATCCAATACTCAAAAACCACATCCAATACTCAAAACCCACATCCAATACTCAAAAACTTACATCCAATACTCAAAAACTTACATCCAATATTCAAAAACCCACATCCAATACTCTAAAACCCACATCCAATACTCAAAACTTAAAGCATAATACCGGCTAATAATTCCACTATCCACTACTCAAATATCCTGTATAATCGGTGTGAAATCGGCGCTGGGACGTGTGACCAAAGGAACAAAGCCCAACGAAGAGGTCGGACCTTCCAAATCCATTACACGGTAAATGAAAACCTAGGAGACCCCAGGCAGGGACCAACCCCTTCGTTGACTCAGGCTCAGAACTTAGTCCAGAATTGAGGCACTGAGCAGACCCCCCCCCCCCCCCCCCCCCCCCCCCCCCAAGTCAACGAAGAAAGTGGAAGGGAACCGTGAACAAATAAGCAAAAGGGGCGCGAAAACACGTGGAAGTATTGGCGGTCACAGAGTGCACAGTCTGAATAACCATTATGAACTTCTTAATCCCCTAATCACGACACTTAACCTATTCGAATTCCCTCGTGGTTTACACAGTTTTGGAATGAAATGTTCACAAAAACGCATCAACTCATGGCCGGCAAATTAAACCCTGGGATGGACTCCAGAATTCAAGCCCATTTGAACCCGAAAATTTTGTATTTCGAGCATGAATATCGAAGTCTTGCCGAGTTCCTTGAACTCCAGGCACGCAAACATTCTCAACTTTTCTCGTGAGCTAGCCGAGTTCCCTCGTGAACTCCAGGCCTACACAAATATTCTTAAGTCTTTTGAGCTTGTTCGAGCTGGACGAGTTCCCTGGACTCCAAACCCATACAAATATAGATTCTCGAGTCTTCTCGTGCATGAGCTAGCCGAGTTCCCTAGCTCTCCGAGCCCTTTAACTTACTACAGCACAACACAAGTATTGGATACAAAACACTCTGCTCGCGGCTCTCCAGGAAGCATTGGCTCTCCAGGCCAACCTAACTCAAATTGCTATGCGACATACTCGCGGCTCTCTAGGCCGTTAGCTCTACTCATATTAGCTCCCAAGGCCAATCTAACTCAAATTATAACGCCAAGTGAGCTCTCAGTACAAATGATATCTTTAAAATTGTCTTTGCACCGGCAAAACGAAACAAATGGAATACAACAAACCTAAACTTTGTCCCACAATACCTGCCGTCAGCATAAGCGCCTCAAGTCCCGTCTGTTTCATCAGCATGCATAGAGCACTAGAATGTTGGCCTCTGGCTGGTGGCGGGGACAGCGAGAAAAATTCGTACTTCGAAGGTCCAAACGACGTTATGCAACGAGTCATGTGTGTCGACTTAATTTATACTGCTTAGTGATAGTTTATTCAGTGAGAATAGTTACCGTTGCTAGGCAATTAACTAAGCTAGATTATATTCTCGCAAGACCAAAGAAATGCGGCTTATTCACCTATTGGGCACTCTTAGTCCCAACGGGATTAATGAACGCTTTATTTTCAACTAACCTTTTCTTTTGTCTTTTGCTTGTTTGTTTTTGTTTCCTTGCCTACCTTGCTCTCATTGGTTTCTTTTGTCTTATTCTATCATATATACACTCCTTTCTACCACTTCTTTCTCTTTCACTCCGACGAAGGACTAGCGTCCGAAACGTCAGTAAGTTTTTTCATCTTTTCACGGTGTATAATTTACCTTTTCATCATTACTGTAAGCTAGATTATACCTCAAGTTACCTAATAATGATCATTTTCAAAAATTTCTTTGAATTTCGAGTATTCTAGTTTTGACATTTCTACTTAAGAAAAAACTGAAAAAACTGAAAAAATTAGAATTTTATCCCTTGATTAGGCTCAAAAACACGGTTGTACGAAGCCTGGACAGCGATATCCGGCGGATAAATCCTTTTCCAGTGGACAAGTCGATGCTGTTTTCCAATAAATTTATCTACATGATAAGATTTATGCGTCGGATAGCGCTATCTAGGCTTCGTACAACCGGGCCCTGGTTAGCGCACGCAGTCATTCTAAAATGTTTGATAAAATAACCTCATCAAAACAGGAAATGCGTCTTATTTTCTTATTTTCGCTCGAGGTTGAATTTCACTGAATTTCACTGTTCTTCACATTTCCGACTGCGGGATTCCCGCGGATAACCGCAAGCAGTCATTCTAAGATGTTTGATCAAATAACGTAAGAATCTCAACAAAGCGGGGATAGCGTCATCATTATCATTTAATTAAGACGCTTTCACCGCTGGAGGTTGATGAATTTTTCCTGCCAAGTTCTTCGCATTGAAACTGCAGGATTTCCGCGGGTTGAGTTAGAAGAATTTCCCTGCTTAAGATTGAGCAGAATGGAAATTTGTATATCAGCACGTGGCACAGTTGTACGAATTGGAATTGCGGTATGAGGTTGATGAATTTCCTTGGTCAAGTTTAGAGGAATGCCCAGCCATACTGCTGGTGAGAAAAAAGTCGGTCGAGTTTGCATTGCAGTGCATTGTGGGACTATCGCAGGGGACGAAAATAGACGCCATCTTGAAAAGAAATGTCCCCTAACAGTCATAAATGTATCTGCTAAATTTTTGTTTTTGTTGACGAAACTAGGAACTAATTTTATAATTACACCTTTTGCTGTTCATTAACCGCAAAGGAATATTCATTCAAATTGAATGTGTGGTTTTGTCTATTGATTGCACAAAGGCGCTAATGAAACTTCGAAAACGCTAATGAACCTGCACAAACATATTCATGATTGTCCAATGTTATGCTAAATTCCTTAATGAAAGTTCCATCGCGCTCTTGAAACTCCGTTCGCGTTATTGTGTGCCTCTTCGCGCTAATGAGACTGCTTTTTCGCTTGAATGAATATTCCTTTGCGGTTAATGAACAGCAAAAGGTGTAATAGATTCATAAATTAGGGATAAACTTATTTTAGAGTCATAAAATACTTTATTTTTAGCGTCGCGAGGTTTTGACGCTTCTTAAAAAACTAGCAGCTGCCGATCTTCAAACCATTTGCTGCACGACATGGAATACTGAACGGGTGTCATAACTACAACACAACAAACCTACACTCTCCTGCTTTTTTCCTCCCTCCTCTCAAAATCAACCCCAACTAATTCAAACCGATGTGCTATTGGGTCATATACATGAACTGTATAGCGACTGCCAAAGGCGCCTTCACATGCTTTCAGTTCGACCCCGTTGAGCTGCGCCAGTGATGATTAGCGAAGACAAGCAGTTTCAGTCTTGTCAAGTCTCATTTTACTTGCGCCTTCATTTGCGTGGGTAGCGATTTAAAATCTTTAAAAACAAAGAACTACAAAATCTTATCCATACCCTGAAACCTCCACCAACCATGGCTAATTCACAGAATGAACCCTGAAACCTCCCTTTTTTTTTTTTTTTTTT